ACGCTTGAATTGAAGAGTACCAACTACTACTACAGCAACTCCACTTTCACAACTTGACTACACACTACCCATTCACTGCGTCCCAGGAGACCTACGGATGCCAATCTACAATTCCACACTGCTCGGCATCTCACTACCTGAGGCAGCCAACGTACACTAATGTTGACCTATGATTAATAAATAGGGCCCCCCCCCCCTGAATGACCATAAATAAAGATTAGGGGAGAATCTTCAGGGTCGGGCCTTGTTTAAAGGAGTTTAGTATTGGGCTCAGTTTTTCCCGGAAGCATTGCGAAGGGTTCTTCTTCTAAAAGCGGCTGCCAACTTCACCTGCCAACTTCTCATGCCAACTTGTCGAGAGTTACTTCACCTGCCAACTTCTCATGCCAACTTGTCGAGAGTTACTTCACCTGCAAACTTCTCATGCCAACTTGTCGAGAGTTACTTCACCTGCCAACTTCTCATGCCAACTTGTCGAGAGTTACTTCACCTGCCAACTTCTCATGCCAACTTGTCGAGAGTTACTTCACCTGCCTACTTCTCATGTCAACTTTTTGAGAGTTACTTCACCTGCCAACTTCTCATGTCAACTTTTTGAGAGTTACTTCACCTGCCAACTTCTCATGTCAACTTTTCGGCTGTTATCTCATTCTACTAAAAGCACAAGCTAATTTGTCGGGTGTTACTTCACTATCCTAAAAACACAAGCTAACTTTTCTGTTCTACCTTCACATCTCGACTCTTAATTCTTCTTTTTTTTTATGGCGGGGGTAGGCCTGACGGGAGCTTACGAAACGCACCCCTCTGCGGAGATCGTGCGTGTCGAAGCGCTCTCGCTGTGGCGCCGTGCGAATCTGTCTTGAGCCCGATGAACCCTCTGCGGGGATCGTGCGTGTCGGATCGCTCTCGCTGTGGTCCCGTGCGAATCTGTCTTGACCGCGGCGAACCCTCTGCGGAGATCGTGCGTGTCGAAGCGCTCTCGCTGTGGCCCCGTGCGAATTTGTCTTGAGCCCGATGAACCCTCTGCGGAGATCGTGCGTGTCGAAGCGCTCTCGCTGGGGCGCCGTGCGAATTTGTCTTGAGCGCGGCGAACCCTCTGCGGAGATCGTGCGTGTCGAAGCGCTCTCGCTGTGGCGCCGTGCGAATTTGTCTTGACCTTGGCGAACCCTCTGCGGAGATCGAGCGTGTCGAAGCGCTCTCGCTGTGGCGCCGTGCGAATTTGTCTTGACCTTGGCGAACCCTCTGCGGAGATCGTGCGTGTCGAAGCGCTCTCGCTGTGGCGCCGCGCGAATTTGTCTTGACCTTGGCGAACCCTCTGCGGAGATCCTGCGTGTCGAAGCGCTCTCGCTGTGGCGCCGTGCGCATCTGTCTTGAGCCCGATGAACCCTCTGCGGGGATCGTGCGTGTCGGATCGCTCTCGCTGTGGCGCCGTGCGCATCTGTCTTGAGCCCGATGAACCCTCTGCGGAGATCGTGCGTGTCGAAGCGCTCTCGCTGTGGCGCCGTGCGATTTTCTTGCTCGCGAAACGGCTTTTGGAAGTTGTCTCGTGGTGTGCGCGCCTGCTTTCGCAATCCCGCGGTCCCGGGTTCGATTCCCCCCTGGTCCGCGGCAGCTCCGGCTTGAAAATCGCAGCTTTTAAGTACAAACGTAGTACGCGGAGCGTGCTCCTGCAGCTCCGGCTGGAAAATTTTAAGTACAGACGTAGTACGCGGAGGCTGCTGCAGCTCCGGCTGGAAAATCGCACTTTTTAAGTACAGACGTAGTACGCGGAGCGTGCTCCCGCAGCTCCGGCTGGAAAATCGCAACTTTTAGATACAAATGGCTGGAAAATCGCAACTGTAAAATGCAAATGTAGCACGCGGAGCGCCTCCGCCGCTCCAGCTTTTTGAGGGTTAATTACTTCACCTGCCAGTTTCTCATGCCGAAACTTCGAGAATTACTTCACCTGCCAGCTTCTCATGCCACCTTTTCGAGAGTTACTTCACCTGCCAACTTCTCGTGCCAACTTTTCGAGGAGTTACTTCACCTGCGAGCTTATCATGCCAACTTTTCGAGAGTTACTACACCTGCGAGCTTCTCATGCCAACTTTTCGAGAATTACTTTACCTGCCAACTTCTCATGCCAACTTTTCGAGAAATACTTTACCTGCCAACCTCTCGTGGCAACTTCACCTGCCAACTTTTCGAGAATTACTTCACCTGCCAACTTCTCATGCCAACTTTTCGAGAAATACTTTATCTGCCAACCTCTCGTGGCAACTTTTCGAAAAATTACTTCACCTGCCAGCTTCTCATGCCAACTTTTCGAGAGGTACTTCACCTGCCAACATCGCCTGCCAACTTTTCGAGAGTTACTTCGCCTGCCAACTTCTCGCGCCAACTTTTCGAGAATTACTTCGCCTGCCAACTTCTCATGCTAACTTTTCGAAAGTTACTTCACCTGCCGGCTTCTCACGCCAACTTTTCGAGAGTTACTTCACGCGCCATCTTCTCGTGCCAACTTTTCGAGAATTACTTCACCTGCCAGCTTCTCACGCCAACTTTTCGAGAGTTACTTCACCTGCCAACTTCTCATGCCAACTCTTTGAGAGTTATTTCACCTGCCAACTTCTCATGCCAACTTTTCTCTTGAGTTACTTCGCCTGCCAACTTCTCATGTCAACTTTGCGAGAATTACTTCACCCGCCAACTTTGCCAGCCAACTATTCGAGAGTTACTTAACCTGCCAGCTTCTCATGCCAACTTTTTGAGAATTGCTTCGCCTGCCAACTCCTCATGCTAACTTTGCGAGAGTTACCTCACCTGCATCAACTTGCCTCTATGCTTCCGGGCCACTCGTCGTCTAGTTTGGTTTTCGAATACTACTTTAGAATTGGGCCAATTCAAAAGTAGTATTGGGCATGTTGTTTTTTTCTTATTTTGCTTTGGGGGAATACTAGTTTAGAATTGGGCCAATTCTAAAGTAGTATTGAGCCAATAACTTTTGGTTATTCCAGGAAGAATCTGGTTAGCATTATTCATGGTCTGGTTATTATTTAGTGCCTCAGGGTTCATGGGGGGGTACTCTTGCTGCCAGGGTCAATGTGTTGATTTGGATGGTTTTTTAAAAGGAATTTTAAAAGAAAGGGATCCCATAAGTTTGTGGATTTGGGATACATCTAGAATCAAGTGTGGGATGAGCCAAGTGGAATCGAAAGCTTGACCATGAATAAAGATAAGGGGATCAGATATTTTTTTGATGGGGGAATCTTGTTAGCATTCTTCATGGTCTGGTTATTTTTTAGTGCCTCAGGGTTCATGGGGGGTACCCTTGCTGCCAGGGTCAATGTGTTGATTTTGATGGTTTTTTAAAAGGAATTGTAAAAGAAAGGGATCCTGGCATGATCCCTATATAAATTCACTATGAAACCATGCAAATTCCATGGGGGATGAGGGTTGGGAGCACTGACCTTGAATAAAAATCTGCATTTTGCATGGATCCCAATGGGAATTCTAGGTTCTTTTGTGAGCTGGGGAACTCAGGATTCATTCATTCATGTGGGGGGAAGGTTATTCTCTTGAATTACTTTATATTATTTTGTATTTTTCATATTTTCCCCTGGGAAAAACGGTTAGCATTACTCATGGTATATTTGTTATGTTTTCGGGAAATCGGTTCGCATTATTTATGGTCTATTTACTAATCGTAGGTCAACATTACTACCACGCAACATCAATGCGCAACTACACCTGCGTCATTGTTCGACTACAGGTCGAACAAGAACTACTTTTGAAGTATTTTACCTCTGGACAATTTGTCCACTTCACAAGGGGCTACATGTCCTACATGGTGTCCATCCAGAATACATTCTACCTTCCAACTACACAACATTCACAACTTGTCTACAAGGTGGACTACGACATGACTACTTTCACCGACACCTACAGCTTGAAGAACTGAACTACCACATGCCACTGCTACTACCGGAACTCCTTCACTACCTCAACAACCACGACCAACTACATGACTTCCAACACAAAGCCATCACTGCAATTCTTTGCAAGAGCATTCAATACTACGGATTCCCACTACTGACAGTGACACAACAACACAAGATTCAACTACATCGTTTTCTCAGAGACTGCGATCAACATGTGGCACGTCCAGAGATTGATGATGACAGACTACGCGTTGCCCCCAACTACATGACCAGCTACTTCACCAACCACTACTTTGCATCCTTGGACAATCGACTACAAATGGTCCAAGCCTACCGGGCCTGCCTGAGCTAGCAGCTCAACTACGTTAGGTACCTGCCTCACGAACTCCATCCAGTACTGGCACTACTTTGTACTGGACCTTGAACAGCGAGAGCTACTGAGAGCAGCACCTACTTTTTTGTCGCTACAGTAGCATTGATGAACAACAATGGTTTTCATCACTACTGCCAATCTTTGTTTTCCACTCCAGTTGAAAAGGTACTACAGAAAAGACCTTTTAACTGAGGGGCCGTGTCAAACTACATGCTTCTCTTCTTGTACTTGTGTTGCATGTATGTACACTACTGCAGGCCTTGAGCTTACTACGACAGCATTAGTGAAAAGGTTGGCAGCTGCAGACTACATTGGTTTATGTTTGTGACAACACAACAGCACTTGCACTTGTAGTCAAAGTAACAACTGATTTTAACGAGAGTGAGAGAGTGAGAGAGTGAGAGAGTGAGAGAGTGAGAGAGTGAGTGAGTGAGTGAGTGAGTGAGTGAGTGAGTGAGTGAGTGAGTGAGTGAGTGAGTGAGTGAGTGTGAGTAAGCGATTGCGTGAATGAGTGAGCCAGCGAGTGAGTGAGAGTGAAAGAGTGAGAGTGAGGGAGGAAAGAAGGAGGCGGAAGGAGGAGGAGAAGGGCGGGCGAGGCAGCGGCGACCAAACGACGAGAACATGCTTATTCTGCGAAACTGCATGCGATAATATGTCGCATTTCGCCAGGTTGAATCTTTCAAGCGTTGCTGTAGTAGCCGGCCGTCCTGCGCACTCGTCACATCGCAGCGACGGGCCTCTACCTGTGCCAACAGTGCGGCCAAGTTCCAACTCTTGTCTTGGGTACCAATGCTCGCTGCAATGCAAACGCCCTTCATTGTCAAAGCAACTTGTAGCCCGACGAGGGCGTTCCAAAGCATTCAACAACCAGTAACCGCAAAATGAAAGGCTTCAAGCGCCATGATGATTTGCAGCGCTGGAACACGCAAGCATTGCAGGAAAGGAAGGGAGCAACAATACAATGACAGCACAATGTGGTCCAACTTGGTCTTGGAATTACGCAGTGCTGGCCAGTCCCGACCTCGGCGTTCAGCTCCTTCAGCTGCAGCTGACCGAGGCGCCGGTCACTGCGGCCGAGCAGCAGCAGCCGCTGTGCTTTTTGGGTTGCCAGGAACCTCGCCGCCTCGAAGCCCAAAGCGCCGAGGCCACCGCTTACCACGAAGCCTGTGCCTTCCGACCAAGATAAAGAGTTCCAAACATGGACAGATCAAGACCGAGGTGTGGAAAGGTCTTGTAAGTCAAAATATCAGGCTGGGTGGAAGGTGTCTTAAAGTACAAGTAGCGAGCCTAACGCCGAGCTGCTTGTAGGTAGTTTGCCGAACAAGTCGGAGCACATCATGCATCACTCAAAAAAAGAGTCCCGTTGGGCCCCTCGGCAGTGTTTTTCAGTTTGTACTCGTGTTCGGGTGATCCTGCAGGTGATGCCAGCGGTGACACACAAGTTTGGCCTGGTTTTTTGAAAGCTTTTGGCTGCTGGTGATGCTAACTGTTCGCTGTCTCTTGCAAGTCTAGCTGGGCATGCACGCCACTAAATCTGTCTGATAGCTACCCCAGTTGAAGGTTTTTAGTTCGGGGCCGCTTGAGGCAGTTTGTGCTGGCTGCCGGCCTTCCAAGAAGATCTGTGGCGGGGTCACCTCTGTTCTGGCCAGTACTTGATGGAAGAGTTGGCCTCTGCGCAAGGCCTGGCGAGGATAGCCCATGATTATCTCCTGCTCGTCGGCATCCAAGTACTGAAGGGGGCCAGGATACCTCAGTTTTGGCATGAAGTCATTCTAGCTTGGGGAGAACAACCAAAACATTGTCACTAGTATCCCTTCTCATGAGAACTGCAAATGGGCCCGTGGCTCAGAACACACAATCGAACTCACTTAAACAGCCAACAGCGTGCAATTGTGGAGTCGTGTCATGTATGAAAAAGTTCCAAATCCACCCCGAATCCGCCCACCTCTTTGCAAAAGCCGTGTTCGTCCCGGCAAAAGGGCGAAGCGTGGGGGAGTCTGAGCGGGGGAGGGGGGGTCCCGCGGCTGACTCGCCTAACCTCTGACTCTAACCTCGAACCTCAACCCTCTAACCTTAACCTCCAACCCGAACCTCTCGCCCCAACCTCCAACCCCAACCCTAACCCCCCTCACTTCCTCAGGCTCCGTGAGGCCCGGATCCCCTGGTCCCCCCATGCACCAAAGGCTCTCCACCGCAGCAGCGCGGAGGAAGCCTAGCAACGGCGCATGTGGCAGGCACACGCGCTCAGAGCCGTCCACCACTTCAGCACACTGCGTCAGGACAAGCAAGGGGAGCGCCAGATCGGCCTGAGCAATATTACGAAAAAGGTCACTGGCGTGTAACCCTGGCGCCCTGATGGCGTGTAAGCAGGCTTTGAACCTGCCCTGGTTAACTGTGCTGAATTGTTTATCTGGTTTCAGCGAAGCTGCCTTCATGAGCGCTTGCACCAGATGAAGGCAGCTAAGCAAGCACATCATGTCAGGCTCAAAGGAAGGAAGGTCCAAAGAAGCGACCACAACAACGCCAGCCAAGCGATTCGCCACAATGACCCTCACAAGCGCTTCAAAGCTCTCTGGCACGTCTGGAGAGACGTGGTAGCAATCAGGGATCAATGCCTCCAGCGGATCTGGACATTCCGGTCCCCAGCAGGCCTTCAGGTCTCCACGAGACTCTAGCTGCCCTTGGTCACGGCAGCTCAAGAACATGAACTTCTGCCCAGGCTTTCGTTGCTCTTTTGGCTGCCTTTGCCAAGTTGTCGAAAAGAGGAAGTCTGCATCGCCGTGATCTGAGAGCGCCGCACCAGCATCTTGCAAAAGCGCCGGACCAAACGCCCAGGGATGGGCTCCTCTCTCGAAGAGGACTGGTTGAGCGTCTGGCATGGCTTTGGCTTCTGGAGAATCTGACAACACAACGTGAGCGTTCGTGCCGCTGAATCCAAAGCTGCTGACACCCGCGTTGCGGGCCAAGTCTAGTTGGGCAGCTTCACCAACAACTTGCAGCCAATCTCCCAGCTGATCCTGCAAACACTCAAGTAGCCTTGGACTCAACCAAGTGATCTGCTTTCACCTAGTTTTGGTTTTACACGGGAACTTGGCTGCAAATGAGTTTTGCCCCAGCTCACTCCTGGATTCTTGGATTCAGCTGCCGCAGCCAGAGGTTGCAAGGCACCGCGTGATGCCGCAGGCACAGCATCGCCCTGTTTAGCCCCAGCGCCCCCGCAGAAGCCTCTAGGTGCCCAAAGCTACTCTTGGCTGTGCCGAGGAAAATGGTGGCCGCTTTCTCGCCGACCCTCTCCCCGAAAACCGCCCGCAAACCCGAAACCTCCACCGGGTCGCCCAGCGCTGTGCCCGTGCCATGGGCTTCCAGAACATCTATGTCTGCTGGCGCCAGGCCTGCAGAGCGCAGGGCGGAGAGCACTACCTCAGTCTGGGCTTTCTGGTTGGGCTGTGTCAGGCCCAGGCCCTTGCCGTCATGGGTGGTCTGCGAGCTCCGGACTCGACTCATGGAGCTCTGGCTGTCCCGGTTCAAACAAACCACACCACAGCCTTCGCCACGCACGTAGCCATCAGCGCTGGCGTCGAAGCTTTTGCAGCGGCCGGAGCGGGACAGCATGTGGGCCTTGCAGCAGTTGATGGTCACGTCTGGGGCCAGCATCAGAGACACCCCTCCTACCACGGCATTGGCGCACCTGGCGTGCAACAAGTTCAGGCAGCCTTGATCCAACCCGACCAAAGAGGAAGAGCAAGCCGTGGCAAGCGTCATCACCGGGCCCCGAAGATCAAGGCGGTCCGCAACCCGGCCAGCCAGGACACTGAAGCAATTGCCAGTGCCGGCGTAAGCATCATGTGGCACCTGCCCAGGGAGCCATCTGGCCTACAATGTGTCCAGAACAGAAACCCCCTTTCGAATTAACATGCCCAGCCCTGACCAAACTTTGCATGCTCAGCATGCCACCCAATCTCAAGCCTGACCATCTAGATGTCTGCCTTGGACCCTGCCCTCACAAAACAATTAAAAATGGGCAAGTTGATCAACTAAGATAGTCTCAGACGGTAACGATTGGATGTGTGGCGGCGCAAGACACACAACAAACAAGTGAAAGATGCTCAATGCTAAAGAGCGGCATGGTGCTTGCACAGCGAATCGCCGAAGTCCCTGGTCATGGCCCCAATCCAAACACCGGTGGAGCCCGGGAGCGCCACAGTGGCAGTCGCCTGCACCGCGGTTTCCAGAAGAAGCCGCTGCTGCGGGTCCATGAACTTGACCTCCCTGGGAGCAAGGCCGAAGTACCTGTGATATGAGGGCATGGTGATGCGCTGAGCGCCCTGACGAAACCTCTTAAGAAAAAGAGCAGACCACAAACCTGGTGTTGCCCCTTGCCTCTCATCAAAGCTAAAGGGATCGCGCTCCAGAAACGCACCATGGCGGCTGTACATCGACTGGTCCACATCCACATCCCAGCGCTGGGCTGGCACATGAACCACTGCATCTTGTCCAGCCTGAAGAAAGCCCCACAGGCCCTGTAGGTGCACAGCGAAAGGATACTCGCAAGCAGCTGCATGCACGAAGCAGCTGCCTCCCAACACGTGCGGCTTTACATCTGACGCTTCCGTAGCTTGCACACCTGACAAGCCAAGGTTACGCACCTGAGTGCAACATCGTCATGCCCTTTTTGACAGCTTTATTGCTGCATCAGCAGCAAGTAAGACTTTTAGCTTGGTCATATCTGTGTATCTCCCGATGTCTTAACCGGGCCACCTGCCTGGAGCTTCCAGGCACAAACAAAAATCCGTGAGCTTCTCCAGGTTGGCGTAGCTAAAGAGATGCGTCGCCTGGATCTCCAGCCCCGTCTGCTCACGGATCCTCGCCGCGAAGTGTTCCAGACCCAAAGAGTCGAGGCCCAGGTCAAGAAAACTTGTCGTGGGGTCCGCGTCTCCCTCGCAGAACTCGGCCAGGACGCTTTGCAGCGCTTCGAGGCTGGGCCGCTCCAAAGCACTCCGGCCGTCTGGGCCCACCTGCAAAATGCGTAGGGAAGGGGTGGGCTAAGGGTAAAGATGAAAAACGCACCTTCGATGGGCCTCCAAGGTAAGCACACCAAGCGCTATGAGAGGCTTGGGGAATCTTGGGGTGCTTGCTTGTATGTTCCCTTTAGAACTGATTCACAAAAATATTTCAGCAGAAGTCATCATGTTGGACCTGCTTGAATGTGACCACCCCCCATTCAACAGTGAACTGGACCATCTTGAGGGAAGATCCTGGGGGTCGGGGAGGGACAGTACTTACTTTAGCATTGCCAATTCTACTTTAGTATTGCCAAGGCCCGTTTTTCCATGCAAATAAGTTATTATTGATTTGATGGTTAGAAACCATTTCACAAAAACAATTCCTAATGTTTGCCCGGATTTGTTTGCCAGACTTCTTTGGCTAGTTTTTGCGCCGGATCTTTTCCGGCAGTTCCTTTTCAGGGGGGGGAGGGGGAACCTGCCACAATAGAGGACCCCACAACAGTCCAACGATCCTGAATTAGGAAAAACACTTTCTGCAATACAGGCTACCGGCATTAAAGCGTGTCAAACATTACCTTGACACTTTGGACCCTTTCGCAGCAAAAGCGAAACAAACATGTTGCGGGGTCAAGCATTGCTTCCCTCCCCTCCCGCGCCTGATCGGTGGAGTCTGAGACGAGATGCTGCAGCCATGGCTGAAAGCGCTGACCCAGCAAGCGATAATCCATCACAGCAACCATCAGTTGGTGGAAGCGTTGCTGCTGCAGAACCTAACAGGGTGTCCCAAAAGGCATGTATGTCATGCTTGCAAGCGCCCAAAACGAACGCAACTTGGTCAAATTTGGAAGTCACCGCGAGAGAGTGCGAAACATGCCCAAACCCACCGTCGCTGCAAATCCCACTGAACATGTTGACAGTCACCCGCTCCTGGCCCAAGACATCCAAAGCACTCTGCACTGGCAGGTGGCGGAGCGTGGGCTGGAGCGTCAGCTCGGCTGCCATGCCCACATCTGCCCAGGGACCAAAATTGACACACTTCGCGGCAAGTCCTGGCAGGAGAACGCCTTTCTGGCTGGGCTGCCGTTTCAACACAACCTGCGATGACCCCAAGTCACAGCAGTGCGTCAGCTTCGATGACGAGTAAGCAGCAGGCCCGATGATACCGGTTGAGCGTGCAGCTGGCAAGGGTTCTCTTGGGCACGAGAGCCGGAACTCCTTTCGCAGCTGAGGTGATGTCAGTGTTGTTGTTGTTGTTGTTGTTGTTGTTGTTGTTGTTGTTGTTGTTGTTGTTGTTGTTGTTGTTGTTGTTGTTGTTCTTGGTGGTGGTGGTGGTGGTGGTGGTGGTGGTGGTGGTGGTGGTGGTGGTGTTGCTGTTGCTGTTGCTGTGGCTGTGGCTGTCGTTGTGGTTGTGGTTGTGGTTGTGGTTGTCGTTGTGGTTGTTGTTGTTGCTGTTGTGGTGGTGGTGGTGGTGGTTGCGGTTGTGGTCGTGGTCGTCGTTGTCGTCGTCGTCGCTGTTGCGGTGGTTGTTGTTGGAGGTGTGGTGTTTACGTACAATCGTGACTTCATAAAGTCTTGAAGTGCATTTCGACTGCGCAGGCGGGCCGATATTTGGCCAGCGCTTTTCGGCTGCGCAGCTCGGGATCAAGTTCAATTCTGAATTTCTCTCAGTTGCAGGCTGTTTTCTGTTTGTTTGAATCGTCCCTTATGTTTTTCTGTGTTGTCTTTGAGTTTTTTTGGCTGAGTTGTTCTTGGGTTGTCTTTTCAGTCTTTTGCTCCGCTGGAACCTCTCCCGTCTGAGGCTGTCTGGTCTTAAGTTGGGGTCATGTCAATGTGCGCTTAGAGCTAACAATGACAAAACCTGCGTTGCGTGGGCTGGAATCTCACGGACGCTGGCCTTGCTGATGCCGAAGCGTTGCCAGCCCGTCTTGGAACGAGTTCGCGGACGCGTAGCACGCCTGACCGACACTGCCCAGCAGTGACGAAATGGAGCTGCAGAATACAAAGTTCTTGAGCTGCAGCTGCAGCGACGCCTTGTGCAGCCAGTACGCGCCGGAAGCTTTCGCCCGGAAAACCTCGGAAAAATCACTCCACCTCACCGCCGGGATTGACTGATCACGAAGAATGCCAGCAGCGTGGACAATCCCTGTGATGTAGCCAAAGGTCCTGAAAATGTTGGCCACATGTTCCTGCTGTGAGATATCGCCGCGAACGATGTGCACCTTCACACCTTTGCCCTTCAAGCCTTCGAGGACTTGACTGCTTCTCGATGGGAAGGAGCGGTCTCTGATTCCCGTACGGCTGGAGAGGATCAGCTCCTCCACGCCGCAGTCAGCAAAAAAATCAGCGATCTCCGCAGCCAGTGCACCCAAGCCACCAGTGATCAAGTAGCAGCCCTCCATGCCCAGAGAAACCATTCGCGGTAGCTGCACCAAGCGAGGGCGCCAGCAACAGCGGGATGCATTCCGGTACGCCACGCCGAGTTCCCCCTGATCTCCCTCACGCAAAAGGTCCTGCGCAATGGTAGGCCAATCCTCGGCTTGGCATAGCGGCATAGCGAGTCAAGTGTGAAAAAAGGATGGCAAAGATGACAAGCGTGCTGCGGACGTTTGCTCAAGAAGAAACGCACACACACACGCACGCACGCACGCACGCACGCACGCACGCACGCACGCACACACGCACGCACCCACACGCACACACACACACACACACACCCACGCACGCACGCACGCGCCCGCCCGCCCGCCACGCACGCACGCACGCACGCACGCACGCACACACGCACACACGCACACGCGCACACGCGCAGACGCGCAGACGCGCACACGCGCACGCGCGCACACTCACAAACAAACACACACACAAACCCACACACACACAAACACACACACACACACAAACACACACACAAACACAAACACACACACAAACACACACACACACACACACAAACCACACACACAAACACACACACACACACAAACACACACACACACACAAACACACACACAAACACACACACAAACACACACACACAAACACACACACAAACACACACACAAACACAAACAGACACACAAAGACACACACACACAAACACACACACACACAAACAAAGACACACACACAAACACACACACAAACACACACACAAACACACGCACAAACACACGCACAAACACACGCGCAAGCACGCGCAAACACGCGCAAACATGCGCAAACACGCGCAAACACGCGCAAGCACGCGCAAACACGCGCAAACACGCAAAAACATGCGCAAACACGCGCAAACACGCGCAAACACACGCAAACACACGCAAACACACGCAAACACGTGCAAACACACGCAAACCCACGAAAACACACGCAAACACACGCAAACACACTCAAACACACCCAAACACACTCAAAAACACTCGCAAAAACACACGGCAGACGCAGACACAGACACAGCACAGGCACAGGCACACAGAGACACAGAGGCACAGAGACACAGAGAGACACAGAGACACACAGCGACACACACAGAGACACAAAGAGACACACAGAGACACGCAGAGACACACGGAGACAAACAGAGACACACAGAGACACACAGAGACACACAAAGACACACAGAGACACACAGAGACACACAGAGACACACAGAGACACACAGAGACACACAGAGACACACAGAGACACACACAGACACACACACAGACACACACAGACACACACAGACACACACACAGACACAACAACACAGACACACACATCAAAGAGAAACACACACAGACACACACACAACACTACACACAGAACACTACAACACAGACCACACAAAGACACACCACACCAGACAACACAGACCACACATAGACACCGACACAGAGACACACAGAGACACACACAGACACACATAGGGACACACACAGACACACACACAGACACACACACAGACACACACGCACAGACACACACACAGACACACACAGAGACACAAAGAGACACACAGAGACACACAGAAACACACAGAGGCACAGAGAGACACACAGAGACACACAGAGACACACAGAGACACACAGAGACACACAGAGACACACAGAGACACACAGAGACACACAGAGACACACAGAGACACACAGAGACACACATAGACACACAGAGACACACAGAGACACACAGAGACACACAGAGACAAACAGAGACACACAGAGACACACAGAGACACACAGAGACACACAGAGACACACAGAGACACACAGAGACACACACACAGACACACACAGAGAGACACACAGAGACACACAGAGACACACACAGACACACACAGACACGCACACAGACGCACACACACAAACACACACACAAACACACACACACAAACACACACACACAAACACACACACAAACACACAAACACACACACAAGCACACACACACACACAC